GCATTATCTTATGATGCCGTAACTGGTGAGTCTTTCCAGATGCGTGCAGCTTTGATGTGGACTATACATGATTGGCCCGCATTTGGTGACATATCTGGGTGGAGAACAAAGGGTCATTATTCTTGCTACACTTGCAATGATGACCCATATTTTCAATCCTTGAAAGGTAAGACTGCATACACTAACCATCGATGCTACTTGCCTCAAAACCACCCTGAAATGAGAAAGAGTAAGGCTTACAATGGTAAGCATGAGAAGCGAAAGATATCTTTAGAGTTACTAGTGGAAAAGATATTAGAGCAATTGGACAGAGTGACAGGTGTCACATATGGGAAACATCCAAGAAACAAGAAAAGACTCCGCCAGGCTCCAAATTGGACAAAGGTAAGCATCTTGTATGAGTTACCATACTGGAAGAAACGGAAGCTTCGACACAACATTGATGTCATGCACGTCGAGAAGAATTTTAGTGAAAATACCTTTGGAACTATGTTAGACATTGATGGAAAGAACAAAGACACCGACAAAGCACGGATGGACTTGGAAGACATGGGTATAAGGAAAGAGTTTTGGTTAACACATCATCCTGATGGAACTTATGTCAAAACTAGGGCAATCTTTTCATTGACCCCTGAAGAGAGAGAGGGTTTCTTTGAATTCTTGAAATCAGTGAAGTATCCGGATGGCTATGCTGCAAACATATCAAGATCAGTGAATGCGAGAAATGGTAAATTAACAGGCTTGAAAAGTCATGACTGCCATGTACTCATACAACGGATTCTTCCAATTGGGATACGTGGTTACGTAGACAAAGAGATTAGTAAAACACTATTTAAGTTAGGTAGCTTTTTCCAGGATTTGTGCTCAAGGACACTACGCCGTAATGAACTAGAGAAATTAGAGGAACGTATAGTACACATATTATGCAAGCTTGAAAAGATCTTTCCTTCAGCTTCTTTGATGTGATGGTTCACTTGGCCGTTCACTTGCCGCGTGAGGCTATTCTTGGAGGACCGATGCAATATCGATGGATGTACCGGATTGAAAGGTAATTGTTAAATTGAAAGGTTCGTATTATATGTTGCATGTGTAACCTTGCTCTTAACTAATTCTCTTTTCAAGGTTTCTCGGAGCTTTAAAAAAGTTTGTTACAAACCGAGCTCGACCAGAAGGTTCAATCGCAGAGGCTTACATTGTCAAAGAGTGCATTACTTTTTGTTCAATGTATGTTGATGGGATCGAAAAGTGCATAATCGACCCGAACGAAATCAAGATCGTGGCGAACGTCACAAAGGGTTAACTGTATTCACAGAAACTGCCCGTCCTATTGGCCTAATCACAAGGGATGTTGATATGTCACAAGAATATTGTGATATGGCTCATTGGTTCTTGTTGAACAATAGCCCCGAGATAGAGAAGTATCTAGAGTATGTTTTTCATTTAAATATGTGTATTCTTAGCTTTGTTAATGTAGTTAGCAGTGCATAATAATCACATTCTTTTGAGTAGGATACACAAAAATCTATTACGGACTCCATCTGACCAAGGCATAACCTGTATACAACAACAAGAGTTTCCCAAGTGGTTCAAAGAGCGGGTAAGGCATTTTCAATTTTAAGACATGATTAAAAATTTGTATAAGATTTGATCATTTATTAATTTATTTTTACTATCTTAATGTACGTTATATGTGAATGTAGATAAATATATTGAGAGAAGAAAAGTCACCAGAAGCAACCAATGATTTATGGTCATTAGCAAATGGCCCAAATTTGCTAGTAAAAGAGTACTCAGGTTGCATAATCAATGGCGTACGGTTTCGTACAAGAGAAGTAGACAATCGCCGTAAGAGTCAGAATAGTGGTGTGCTTACGGAAGGGGATCATGAGGGAGTGACGCATGAATTTTATGGTCACTTGTGCAATGTTTGGGAATTTGAGTACATGTGTCATAACAAAGTTGTATTGTTCCAGTGTGAATGGTACAACACAGGAAACACAGGTCGAAGTAGAACATTGCGAACCGATGATTATTGCATAAGTATTGATGTCACAAGTTAGTGGTATCAACACGACCCTTTCATCTTGCCTAGCCAAGCTAAGCAAGTCTTTTACCTAAATGGTACCAAATGGGGACAACCTTGGCAAGTCGTTCAACGAGTGCAACATAGGGGTGTCTTTGATGTACCAGAGGTAGGTGATGGAGAATCATTAGATGAACCAGAAGAAAACGATGTGTTCCAACAAGAAAATATTACCGATGTTGTTCCAATCGACATCGGCCCTAATGCTCAATGTTATAGAGATGGTGTTAAAGCAGAAGTTGTTACAAGGGTTAGGTCATCTGATGAAACAATGATAGAGAATAGAGCTGACAAACAAAATGAAGAGTGTGACGAACCTGATGTGGATTACGATATGGATCTTGATGTAGACTAGGATTTGTAATTATTTTGCACTTTCTATATGAACATTGTTCTTAATTAATGTAGTTGAATTTCAGTTGTGGGGTTCATCCACTGTTATGTAGGTTTATCATTGATTGGTCATAGTATGTGTCTGATGGCTTTATAATTAATTTGTTCTATGATAAGTAATAGTAAAAACAAAAATCATCCATCTCACTCTAGCCATATTTCAATGATTTAGAGCCTATATGACATATCCATTTGTTGAGATTGTTGTTGCTTTATGCTTTATGTATAGAAATATATAATTATCTTTTCTTTACATCTAATGTTCAATTATGCATATCCACCAAAACAATGTTCAATTATGCTTTATAGTTGGGCAAAATGGGCGCTACAAAAAAGCAATTGACCAAACCAAGTACCGCAACTAAGAAGGTAACGAACTATGAGAAACAAAGAATGAAGATTATTCATAAAAACCGTGAGAGAATGAATGCTCTAGGAGTGAAGAATATAACAACTTGTTCGAAGGCTGTGGTTCAACATAAGAAATTGAGGAAGGAAAAACAAATACCAATTGAGGAAAATGACGATGATTATCCACCGTCAGAGGCTGAAGATGGCAGTGACACTGAAACCTATGATTCGTTTGAGCATGAGGTACTATACATTTATGCATTGTGAAATATATTCTTTCTTGTTACTTTCAATTCATACACACATACACATGTATATCTTTGTACATATATTCATATTTTATTATGTTATTCAGCTGTTAGAGATACCATCGAGTGCCCGTTCACAATCTCATCATGAGGCATTGACCCACGCATCATAAGAGGGGCATACCTCTTCACGTCCTGAGGTGGCTAGCCATCCGCCGCCACCTCTCAATGTGGAGCCTCAACTTGAGGTGACTGCTAGTAATACTATTGGTAAGACACACTCTTTATTTACATTGATTTGAGATCTTAATTAAATTTGTTCACATACTATTTCAATATTATGGCTTCACAATATCAGCTGCTAAGCGTGCTCGTGGCCCGACTCGAGGCAAAGAGGTTCAAGGCCTTGTTGATAGAGATGGAAAGCTTAGCGTGGCTATCTCTCTAGAATTTCGTGCACCGGTAGGGGACTATGCCTCAAAACTAGCCTCAAAGATTGGTGTAGAAGTGCGAACTCGTTTACCAGATCCAAGTGTTCGTAGGTGGAAGTATGTTGATGCCTCCGTTAAGGAGGCGATGTTTCAACGCTTGAATGTAAGTTCGTTGTCTACTTATAGGAGATTTTACTCATTTTTATAATAGGTTAGAAATCTTAATTATTTATTGTAATTATTTTATTTTTTATAAGAATTATCTATGACTTATCTATTTTTTGCAGGATCAATTTGATTTACAAGGAGACCCTGTTGATATAGAGAAGGCAATGAACATAAAATTTGGTCGCAGATTGAGTAACCATACCTATAGGCTGCACAAACAATTCATGAAGCTAAAGGAGGCTAAAGGGGAGGAGTATGCAAGAAGCCACCCACCGAAGAATGTTGATCCTACCAAGTGGATAGATCTTATTGATAAAAAGTGGAACACTAAAGAATTTATGGTAACCTTTTCATTTTTTTTATTATATCAGCAAAGAAAGAATTTGATTAGAATAGGGAGAGATTCTAAAAAAACTAGAAAGAACACAATCAATTTGTTATGAAATTCCATATGTATTCTTTTCCCTTTATCTTTTAGGCATGTAAGTGGAGCATAATAAAAACCAAATAAGTGGGAAAATGAGAAGGGAAACTATTAAACATGGATTGGAGGGATCGCATAATAGGAGATTAATTTATGGTTCCTTAAAGTGCATCTTTCACATCATAGAATAAAGAACTAAGATTTCAGTTTCTATGATTGTATTAATTTTCGGTTTGTTCTTGGGTTTGGTCTGAAGTTTCATGATAATGGTAAGCAACTAGCTAAGTAACTAATATAGGGTATTGAGACAGAACTTTAGATTTGATAGAGTTGCGGAAGAAAGAAAGGGTTATGAGTTTGGTATCAGTAATTGTTCCATATCTTGTGAAATGTAAATGGATTTTTTCACAATCTATCTTGCCCATGCTTATATGCCCCCTATTTGTGAACGGCGTAAATTACTCGTTTTTCTTTTTTCACCCAGAAAAACCATCTTATGATGAAATCTCAACAAGTCCTCTAATCTATTTTTCAAAGAATTGATTGAAACTAGTGAATAATTTGAAATATCTTTTAAGTTGAAATGATATATAGGAAAATGATAGAGAGGAACAATGCAATTTCTTTATTATCATGCATTAAATTTGTTTTACTAGTGATACATTTCATTGTTATATTGGTTCATTATTCCTTATAGGAACAATCAAAAGCCAACATATTTGTCTTATTAATGATACATTTCATTGTTATATTGGTTCATTATTCCTTATAGGAACAATCAAAAGCCAACATATTTGTCTTACTAATGATACATTTCATTGTTATATTGGTTCATTATTCCTTACAGGAACAATCAAAAGCCAACATATTTGTCTTACTAATGATACATTTCATTGTTATATTGGTCATTCTTCCTTATAGGAACAATTAAAGGCCAACATCGCGAACGGAGAAAGGATGTATACAAAACATAGGTGTGGTTCTAGGTCAATCCCTGTTAGAGTAGAAAAACTGGTACGTATCCTTGCACTTTCAGAATTATATTAGATTCTTAGCTTTATTTATTGAATATTTGGACTATTGAATTAGGCACGAGAAAAGAAGATGCTACCTGATCTAGCAGAGTTGTACAAGGAAACTCACTATAATGAGAAAACACATGAGTGGATCTCATCTCAAGCTCAGTGTAATTATGTGAGTATATATTGCAATTTTTATTAACAAAATTTTAGAATACTATTTGTTATAATCTTATTTAATTTTCTAATAATTATTTCATTTTTTTTATATTTGATAGGAAAATATGATACAGACACAGGCTGATCACCTCTCACAGCCGAGATCAACCTCTTTGACTGCAGAAGAGCTATCAATCAAAGTCCTAAAGCCAAGGTCTGGCTATGTGAAGGGACTTGGCATGAGACCTTCATCCTCTATTAGGAGGACCACTACCATATATGCTAAAACAAATGATTTTGTGAAGTACCTTGAGATGCAAATAGAGACACAGAAGGAACAAATACAAATGCAAAACAATAAAATAGAAACTCTTGAAGAGGGTAAGAAGAAGCAAGAGGAGATAATGGCTGATGTTGTCAATTTTTGAGGACCAAAGGATTCACTGGACACTTTGGAAGTGGAGGGGACTCATCCACAAGTGGACATACTTCTTGGTAAAGTATATTAACTTTAATATAACAAATTTTATAAAAGAATACATGTTTGAAGAATTATGAAGTAATGGAAACATGCATATGACATCCAATTTGTACAGGTGCACGGAATGTATAAATTGTGAATTAATCTAAAAAATATATATTTTTCTCTATACTTAAAGCTTCAAAAAAAGCCATCGAAATGCTAAATTATCACACAACTACAGATTTGTATAGGAACCAATAGAAACACCTTAGGAGGGACCAATATAAGTTGTATGAACTTACGACACATTAATGAGATGCACCATTTGTGAATTAGCCTTAAAATTAATTTTTTGTTCTCATAATCTAAAAAAAAGTCTGTTACAGGGATAAATTGTATAATTGATCTAATTGTAAATTGATGAGTTACTAATGTTTTTAATCTTTTGTATAATTGATTAATTACTAAAACTTTTAATTTATTTTTTTGCAGATTGGATTGGGGTGGCATTTTTGACGTGCAACAATGATGTAATTTGTTTGAATGTTCATTTTTGTTTGATAAGGATACACATACTTTTTGGAGTTACACTAGTTATTGTTGGATTTTTGGTGGAATTGAACAAATTATAACTTTTGGATATTTTGTGGATATTTCACTATTTTATTATATCAGGATGAAATTATTTGTAATGATGAATGAATATCTTCATTTTGTTAATTCGTAAATGTATTGATAACAGGTTAGGTTAAGTTGTGATGGAATTGTTATATTCAACAGGTTTCAACATGAACAGGGTCATATTTGTTGAACTAAAATTTAGATTTTGATAAAATAGGTATATAAT